ACCCCCACCCCCACCCCCCGTCCGCCACGGAACACCACATTTATTATTGGTTTATCAGGTCAAACGAGATGCTGTCGTGGAGAAACAGCATCTACCACTGGAATCAATCGCTGTTGCAGAGAATGTCGCGCCAGCTGTCATTGAGCCCATTGAACTACCGCACTCACATCGACTGACTATTAGCGTGCATCAACAAATCGGAATAGCTCTACTGTTGGGCTACTTGTTCATGCTACTGGTGGATCACCTAAGCACTCCCGTCCTGGAGTCGTCCTGTTGCGCATCCGGTTTACATCGCCTTGCCAGTGGTTGTTGTCCCCGTAGACTGGTAGACGCACTTGGATCCACCGTACGAACAAACCCAATTGTTTCGAACGAGGCCGGGACTGTAGCTGATGCCGGTGTTGTGGGTGGTGTTCCGATCGGCTCGGGTAGAAGGCGAGCTACCGCTACCGTGGGTTTGGTCTTTCACTCATTCGCTGACGGATTGGCTCTCGGGGTCGCGTTCGCCGTGCATCAGGTCCAGTTAGAAATGATCATGTTTTTGGCGATTATTCTACACAAGGTAAGTGGATTTTGTCAGTTCGGTATTAAAATGATCAGCGAACCTTAAAAGGCGTGGTAGATTTCAGCCTCATATACTTCACTTGATTTAGTGGTTTGCAGGATCCCTACTGATGATATTACTTTGACAGAAATCAGTGTCAATTGCAGAGAAAAATACAACTCAATTGTTTTAGACGTATGGAACGGCTTGGAGTTGATCCTCAAAAAGTTGTATCGTCATACCACAGATCCGATTCTAGCGTATTGTCAGCTTGCGCTACCGTTTATCGTTTGCAGTAGACTACCACAAAGCCGTGCTATATTCCCATTTCTGTTCTCCTCCATAGATCGCTTTGTTCGGTCTAGTAAACTTTGGTGATAAAATCCACACCCGAGGATCAGTTTTTTTACCTGGACTGTGTCTATCAGATCACCTTGCTGGGTGATGGTACATAGCCAGTCCAAATCTTGTTCCCGCACTTAAATCTTAGTGACGATTAGCTAGAAATGGCTAAAAGCTTGAAAAGTACGTTGTGTTTTGTCTTACCAAACTATCACTGAACCCTGGTCTTATGATACGTATTCCCAACGAATCCAGTAAAAAGACAGTTGGAGAAAAAAAACGGTGCGAGCCTTTATTGGTATCACTAGCCCAAATGTGGTCAAGTAAGGAAGAAAACGTGTGGTATTTATAGGATTGCTCACTGTCTAGACACTTGTCCGAAATGGGGGTTACCGGGTAGGCGATGGAGGAATTGCCAGAAAATCAGGTCATCGTACTCTGTACTTTTACTCTGACGCCCACGTACTCAGTACCATCGAGAAAACTACCGACACCTTCGCGACTGATCCCAATCCAGTTCTGATTGATACCGTGAGAATTCTCAGGATAAGGTTCGGGTTCTCCTGATACCTCGGTAGTTGAATTAGCCCCGGAGATGGTATTCGGGCAGTCAACTATTGAACAGTGGAAATTAAGGTAGTTGCGACCTGCAGCATCGCTATAATGTCCGGCTTTTCATTACTGGAAAAGGTGCACATCGCTATTTTTTGGTTACGAGACCTGACCTGTTTGAGCTGAGGATTTCATTCGACTATCTGCATTTGACCATCGATGTCCCCGAAGCATTGCTCCTGTCCGGTGGGAACATCGAGTCTGCAAGAGCGGCAATCTTTGTTGATGTCTGGGTGCTATTAGTCATTCGCTGAAAGAGAAAATCGGTATGCATCGCCTTCAATGGCTCACTGATGTGCCTAAAAAGTTTATTTCAATATTACGATCGCTTTATACTAATAGCCGAAGTCGAGTCCGGGCTTACGGCACTTTCTCAACCGAGTTCACCACAGAAAGTGGTGTTCGACAGGGCTGCCCTCTCTCTCCATTTCTATTCAACTTTGTTATAGATTCGGTTATGGAAACAGTCCTATTCTTGTGCGAGGAAAGTGGCATCGATTTACTCCCAGGTGGCAGACTGTCTGATCTAGAGTATGCAGACGGCATTGTGCTACTAAGTGAAGATGCAGGTAAGGTGTAAGCTTTTTTGAGCAGCTTGAATGCCAGTGTAGCGATGTTCGGTATGCGTTTTACACCTTCAAAGTGCAAAATGTTACTACAAGTCTGGGTTGGTCCAGCACCCAGACTCACTCTAACTGGGGAAGTAATAGAGCAGGTGGATAAGTTTTGTTATTTGGGCAGCTATATCTCACCTGGCGGACGCATCATGGATAAAGTGTCGGCGCCCATACAGAAAGCTCGGTTGGCATTTTCCAACTTGAGACATCTGTGGCGCCGTCGCGACATCCGGCTGTCTGTGAAGAGTCGAGTGTATGCCGCGACAGTTCGGCCCGTTCTGCTATACGGTGCAGAAACTTGGCCATTAAGAAAACACGATAAAGACAGACTGTCGTTGTTTAAACACTGCAGTCTAGGCAGCATTGCACGAATCTAGCGAGTGGTCGACCACGATAGATTACGATGGTTGGGGCATGTGTTACGC